TGTGTGTGTGCTGTGTGTGTGTGTTGTGTGTGTGTTGTGTGTCTGTGTGTGTGTGCTGTGTGTGTGTGTGTGTGTGTGTGTGTGTGTACGTAAGCTGATGGACCGCCGTGCAGCCCTGTCCCTGGCGGGGGGCACGCAGCTCCCATTTTCCAGAGCAAACACACCGAAGACGACATGGCTGACTCCGGGGTCGCAGCCTCCGACGCCATCTTCACGCCCGGTGTCTCCTGGGCCCCAGGCCTCTTCCGAGGGCTCAGAACACATCCCTTCCCTCCCTAACACAGGGCGACAACACACACACACAAACACACAAACACACACACACACACACACACACGCCCGCGGTGAGCTCCATGCCCGGGGAAAAGGCGCAGGGATGCTATGTCTGTGCTCGCGTGTGCTGGCAGTTACAGGGTTTAGCGTGTGCCGGCGGTTACAGGGTTTAGCATCGGCTCCCGCACACGCACTACCACCAGGCAGCTATTTTCGGAAGCCGTTTGAGATCCGTTCCATCAAAGGGTGACCTTCGGCCTCCCGCCCGGGCCCACAGCGTCCGATCTGTTTGTTTCCTTCCCCTGGGAAGAAGGAAAATAAACACAGCCGAGAGAAGCGGTGAGAAGGAGGCCCTTTCCACCTGCGGATCAGAGCACCCTGGCCAGGCAGGCATGGGGGCTGTGGCCCCGGCGGGCTGCAAAGAGACCCCAAGTTTCTGCCCGGCCGGCGTGGCTCAGGGGCTGAGCATCAACTGAGGAGCCAGGAGGTCACGGATTGATTCCTGGTCAGGGCACAGGCCTGGGCTGTGGGCTCCATCCCCAGTGGGGGGCGTGCAGGAGGCAGCCGATCCGTGACTCTCTCTCATCATGGATATTCCTCTCTCTCCCTCTCTGCCTGAAAGCAATAAAAATATGTATAAATTTAAAAAGAGAGAGCCCTAACCGGTGTGGCTCAGTGGATAGAGCGTCAGCCTGCGGACTGAAGGGTCCCAGGTTCGATTCCGGACAAGGGCATGGACCTTGGTTGCGGGCACATCCCTGGTAAGAGGTGTGCAGGAGGCAGCTGATTAATATTTCTCTCTCTCCCTCTCCCTTCCTCTTTGTAAAAAATCAATAAAATATATTAAAGAGAGAGAGAGAGAGAGAGAGAGAGAGAGAGACGGGAGAGGCATACATCAATGATGAGGGAATCACTGATGGGCTGCCTCCTGTAACCCAGGCCTATGCCTTGACCAGGAATCGAACCCGGGACCCTTCAGTCTGCAGGCCGACGCTCTGTCCACTGAGCCACACCGGCGAGGGCAGTAAACCTATATTTTAAGGAAGGAAACCCCTCCAGGACCCGGCGTGTGTGGCTCAGGGGTGGAGCTGTGGGAATCGAAGGCCGGCCGTGGGGGACGTCCTGGGCCCGTCCCCGCCCCACCCCCCAGATCACCATGCTCACACACACGCACACACACGCTCACACGCACACGTTCACACGCGCGCACGTCTCCGTACAAAAACCGAGGCGGACGCCGAGCCAGCGTCTTCCTTCCACGTCTACACACCTTCGCACGTGGACCCGTCTCTCCTCCACAGGACGCCCGACTCGGGACTTCAAAAATAGATCCCCTCGGCTCCCCGGGACCCTTGGGGGGACATACAAAACTCGTCTTCCTGGAGACCTCTGCTGTGCAAAGAAGAAGCATGAATACTGTGAATATCTACGTTATAAAAAACAGAGAAAAGATACAGGCCAGCCGGCCGTGTCCGCCGCCCCGCCCTCCGCCGGCCCCCACGGCTCCCCCGTGGCCCCCGTGGCCCCTGGGCCGGGCTCAGGCCCTAGAAGCAGTAGGCGGCCGCCGGGCCGAGCCGCCCAGGTCCCGTCCGGTGTCCGTGCTGGCGATGGGGGCCCCGGCAGGCACTCGGTGGCGGCGTCCGGCTTGTCGGCGAGAAGGCCGTTCGCCCGGCCCGCCCCCGACCAGGCACAGCGAGGAGATCCAGCTGAGCGGGCGCAGGGCGGGGAGGCCGAAGGCGGAGGACAGCGAGGCCGAGAGCGAGGCCGTCCGGCTGGGACAGTGAGCGGGCTTCCCCGTGGAGTCCGAGGAGCACCGATCCGGGGCCGGGGAGGAGCCGTCCGAGGCCCGGCAGCCCGAGGAGTCGCTCAGAGGCAGGCTCACTCCCACGTCCAGGCCCACGTCCACGTCCACGAGCCCAGGCTCCTCGCTGGCCTCCGGGGGGCTGTCCAGGACCCAGTGGTCTGAGGCCTCCCTCTTAGGCAGGCCCACGTCCACGTCCACGTCCACGTCCACGTCCAGGCCCACGTCCACGTCCACGTCCACGCCCACGTCCACGTCTACGGGCTGGGGCTCCTCGCTGGCCTCCGGGGGCTGTCCGGGGCCTGGTGGCCCGAGGCCTCACTCAGAGGCATGTCTACATCCACAACCACATCCACGCCCACATTCACGCCCACGCCCACGTCCATGCCCACATCCACAGACCGTGGCTCCTCGCTGGCCTCCTGGGGGCCGGGCGGTGGCGTGTGCCGGGACCCCGGCGGTGAGGAGTCGTCCTGGGAGGCGGAGGAGGAGGCTGAGGCGCTGAGGCCTCTGGGCTCCGAGGTGTCGGGGCTTGGGGCTCCCGGGAGGGGTCCCCGAGAGCCTCCGGGGGCCGGGTGCTTCCCGCGGGGCCTGAGGGCCAGCTGGCGCGCCCGCTGCAGCGGTGTGGGGCACAGGGTGCCCTGCAGGGCTCTGAAGAACAGCCTGCAGAGAGCACAGGGCAGGGGACGCTGTCAGGACACGGGACACAGTCAGGACGCCCTGGGGCCCACCGGGCAGCAGGGACGGGGGGGGGGGGGGCAAGGGGAGGGCTCAGAGGGTCAGAGCGTCACTGGTTTGATTCCCAGTCAAGGGCACAGGCCAGGGTTGCAGGCTCCATCCCCAGTGGGGGGCGTGCAGGAGGCAGCCGGTCCATGATTCTCTCTCATCATGGATGTCTCTCTCTCTCGTTCCCTCTTCCTTCCTCTCTGAAATCCATAAAAATACATTAAACACACACACACACACGATAACAAATCACACCCATGAACCAGGAGGTCAGGGTTCGATTCTGGTCAGGGCACAGGCTTGATCCCCAGGAGGGGGCGTGCAGGAGGCAGCCGATCCATGGTTTCCTCTCATCATTGATGCTTCTCTCTCTCTCTCTCCTTCTCCCTTCCTCTCTGAAATCAACAAAGAAATAGATTTTTTTAAAAAAAATCCTATATAATAAAAGCCTAAAATGCTAAGTGTCAGACCGTTCGACTGTCCGACCCGTCGCTATGACACGCACTGACCACCAGGGGCTGACCCTTCAACAGGTAGGCTAGCTTGCAGCTGGGGTCCGGCCGATGGATCGGGACTGGGCGAGACAGTCCAGACACGCCCTGGAGCCCTCCCTCGGTCCCTCCCCGGACCCGATTGTGCACGGGTGGGGTCCCTTGGCCTGGCCTGCACCCTCCTGCCACCCAGGACCCCTCAGGGGATGCCAGAGAGCCCATTTTGGCCCGATCCCCAAAGGCCAGACAGAGGGGGACCCCAGCGGTGCGTGAACCCATGCACTGAGCCTCTTAGTGATAACAATAACAATAACAACAGCAACAACAATAATAATAATAAACAATAAAGAACTGCACCAGCGCTCGGGGAGGACGGAGGCGGGGCGGAGGGGTCAGGGGGAGGGCCCAGCGGCCTGGACGCCCACCTGGGCAGCAGGGCGGTGACGGGTGCGAGGAGGCAGGTCAGGTAGAAGCGGGGGTCCCCCGCCAGCGTCTGCATCGTCCAGTAGGGGTTGGAGGGCGGGAAGCAGGTGGCGCAGGAGGCGTTGTAGGCGAAAGCCACGGTGAAGAACAGCAGCACGCTGAGGCCACACGCAGTCCAGTTCAGCCAGGTCTGGGGGTCGGGGAGGGGGAGAGGAGGGGCCTTCTCAGCCAAAGGGCGCTGCCACCCCTGAGCCGGGAGGTGGGGGACGCCCCCACCCCGAGAGGCCCCAGAGAGGCAGACGGGGTCACGAGGTCTGGCCTTGCTCCGGCATGCGGGGCGAGCTCATGTGTCACCACGCCCTGGCCGGTGTGGCTCAGTGGATAGAGCATCGGCCTGCAGACTGGAGGGTCCCAGGTTCGATTCCGGTCAAGGGCATGCACCTTGGTTGCAGGCACATCCCTAGTAGGGTTTGTGCAGGAGGCAGCTGGTCGGTGTTTCTCTCTCGTCGATGTTTCTAACTCTCTATCCCTCTCCCTCTCTGTAAAAGAATCAATAAAATATATATATTTTTTAAAAAGGTGTCACCAGCCCAGCCTGTGGACTGAGGTGTCCAGGGTGCCGTCCCCAGGGGCTGAGTGTTGACCTAACAGATGTCTCTGACGCTCTCTCCCTCTCCCTTCCTCTCTGAAACCAATAAAAATATATCTGAAAGCCATACACATAGCTCTATAAAAGAAAAACATGCATTTTCTATGAAAAGAAAAGAAAAGGCCACAGTTAGATTCCCGGTCAGGGCTCACGCCCGGGGTGTGGGCTCCATCCCCAGGGTGGGGCGTGCAGGGGCAGCCGGTCTGTGATTCTCTCTCATCACAAACACTTCTTTCTCTCTTTCCCTCTCCCTTCTTCTCCGACATCAATGAAAATACACACACACACACACACACACACACACACGGAACCTTCTAGATCCCACGGCCGGCCCGCGCGCTCACCCAGGTCTTGGTTTCGATGCCCAGGTGCAGCAGGAAGGTGAGCAGCGCGATGGCCGTGACGGGGGTGCCCCAGGTGAACACGTCCACATCCGAGTCGTAGTAGGCCTGCAGGACGGAGGGGGCGGGCGCCCCGGGTGTGGGGACGGGGACGGGGACGGGGACGGGGGCGGGGGCAGGGGCAGGGCGTGGGCCGCCGTGGAGTGGGGGACTCGGGCCCAGCACACGTACCAGGTATGGGATGAAGAAGCAGACCAGGCTCTGGAAGGCGGCATCCGCCATGTTCCACCAGAAGGTGCGGGGCCCGTACTCCTGGGACAAGAGGCAGGGGCAGGGGCGGGGCTGGTTACCGGGAGTGAGCACTCAGCTCTTCTCAGGTTCTGGCACTTCTTTTTTTTAAATTGATTTGAGAGAGGAAGAGAGAGGGAGGGAGGGAGAGAGAGAGAGAGAGAAAGAGAGAGAGAGAGAAAGAGAGAGGGAGGGAGGGAGAGATAGAGATAGAGATAGAAAGAGAGAGGGAGGGAGGGAGAGAGAGATAGAGAGATAGAGATAGAGATAGAGATAGAAAGAGAGAGGGAGGGAGGGGAGAGCTATAAGATATAGAGATAGATATAGAGATAGAGATGAGAAGACAGAGAGAGGGATGGAGGGAGGAGATAGAGCTCTGACGATCGCGCTCGAGCTCGCGCTAGCTAGCGATCGATCTCTACATAAGCGATGCGATCGCCTCGAGCGCGCGATGAGTAGGCGCGCGGATAGGCGACGAGGCGCGCGCGCTCGCGCGAGCGATGCGCGCGCGCCGAACGCCGTTGCGCGCGGTGGCGGGCGCTATAGCGCGCAGCCCTCTCGCGCTGCGCTCGCGCTAGCTCGCTTCTCAGCTCGCCCGCTCGCGGGCGTGGGGGCCGGAGCGCGCGCGAGCCCGCGCCCTCGACCGCGCGCGCGCGCTCACCTGATCGCACGCACCCCTGGCTGGGCTTAGGGATTGATCCTACAACCTGGGCCTGTGCCCTGACCTAGAATCAAACTGTGACTCCTGGTTCATAGGTGGACAGCCACTGAGTGACACCGGCTGGGCTGACTTAGAGATCACTGCACACACAACAGCCCAGACTGGAGACTATTGCACACACACAACAGCTCTGACTGGAGACTATTGCACACACAATAGCTCAGACTGGAGACTATTGCACACACAACAGCTCAGACTGGAGACTATTGCACACACACAACAGCTCTGACTGGAGACTATTGCACACACAACAGCCCAGACTGGAGACTATTGCACACACAACAGCTCTGACTGGAGACTATTGCACACACACAACAGCTCTGACTGGAGACTATTGCACACACACAACAGCTCTGACTGGAGACTATTGCACACACAATAGCTCTGACTGGAGACTATTGCACACACAACAGCTCAGACTGGAGACTATTGCACACACAATAGCTCAGACTGGAGACTATTGCACACACAATAGCTCAGACTGGAGACTATTGCACACACAACAGCTCTGACTGGAGACTATTGCACACACAATAGCTCAGACTGGAGACTATTGCACACACAACAGCTCAGACTGGAGACTATTGCACACACAACAGCTCTGACTGGAGACTATTGCACACACAACAGCCCAGACTGGAGACTATTGCACACACACAACAGCTCAGACTGGAGACTATTGCACACACAATAGCTCAGACTGGAGACTATTGCACACACAATAGCTCTGACTGGAGACTATTGCACACACAACAGCTCAGACTGGAGACTATTGCACACACAATAGCTCAGACTAGAGACTATTGCACACACAACAGCTCAGACTGGAGACTATTGCACACACAACAGCTCTGACTGGAGACTATTGCACACACAATAGCTCAGACTGGAGACTATTGCACACACAACAGCTCAGACTGGAGACTATTGCACACACAACAGCTCTGACTGGAGACTATTGCACACACACTAGCTCTGACTGGAGACTATTGCACACACAACAGCTCTGACTGGAGACTATTGCACACACAACAGCTCAGACTGGAGACTATTGCACACACAATAGCTCTGACTGGAGACTATTGCACACACACTAGCTCAGACTGGAGACTATTGCACACACAACAGCTCTGACTGGAGACTATTGCACACACAATAGCTCTGACTGGAGACTATTGCGCACACACTAGCTCAGACTGGAGACTATTGCACACACAACAGCTCTGACTGGAGACTATTGCACACACAACAGCTCTGACTGGAGACTATTGCACACACAACAGCTCAGACTGGAGACTATTGCGCACACAACAGCTCTGACTGGAGACTATTGCACACACAACAGCTCAGACTGGAGACTATTGCACACACAATAGCTCAGACTGGAGACTATTGCGCACACAATAGCTCTGACTGGAGACTATTGCACACACACAACAGCCCAGACTGGAGACTATTGCACACACAATAGCTCAGACTAGAGACCGTTGCACACACAGTAGCTCAGGCTCGGGGACGATTGCACACACAACAGCTCAGACTGGAGACTATTGCACACACAATAGCTCAGACTAGAGACCGTTGCACACACAGTAGCTCAGGCTCGGGGACGATTGCACACACACTAGCTCAGACTGGAGACTATTGCACACACAACAGCTCAGACTGGAGACTATTGCACACACAATAGCTCAGACTGGAGACTATTGCACACACAATAGCTCAGACTAGAGACCGTTGCACACACAGTAGCTCAGGCTCGGGGACGATTGCACACACACTAGCTCAGACTGGAGACTATTGCACACACAACAGCTCAGACTGGAGACTATTGCACACACAATAGCTCAGACTGGAGACTATTGCACACACAATAGCTCAGACTAGAGACCGTTGCACACACAGTAGCTCAGGCTCGGGGACGATTGCACACACACGGTATCCGCCCCGCCAGCTGAGGAGCCGAGCGTGGAGGGCGTGCGGGAATGGCTGGCGGGGAGGGGCCGGTAATTAGCTGTCTACCCACGCGGTGTGTTTACAACTGTTTACATGTGTTTGTGTGCTCCCTTCCTCTCCGCAGCGTCCTGTACGTTTATCTCCCCGCTAATTCCCTTGCAGAAGGAGCTTGTTTCAGAGGGAAAAATGGAAAGCCAAGTCCCTGCTCAGGCGGTGGCTCTCACAGGGCCGTGATTTAGATTCCAGCCTGGCTCCCCACAGGCCCCTGGAGACCGGCGGCATCGGTGTTTGCCGCATTATCCATTGTTTTATAATATATGTTTGTGGATGTCAGGGAGGAAGGGAGAGCGAGGGAGCGGGAGAGACAGAAGCACCCTGATGAGCGAGAGCCGTGGATCGGCTGCCTCCTGCACAGTCCCCCCCACTACTGGGGACCGAGCCCGCACCCCGGGCAGGTGCCCTTGACGGGAATCGAACCCGGGACCCTTCCGTCTGCAGGCTGATGCTCTATCGATTGAGCCACACTGGCTTGGGCCAGTCTCAGGAATTTTTTTTAAAAGAATATATTTATATTGATTTGGATGATGTGAAATGTATGTGTGTGGATTTCAGAGAGGAAGGGAGAAGGAGGGAAGGAGGGAGGGAGGGAAGGGAAGAGAGAGAGAGAGAGGGAGAGAGAGAGAGAGAGAGAAACAACATCGATCGGCTGCCTCCTGCACACCCCCTATTGGGGATCGAGCCCACAACCCAAGCACATGCCCCTGACTGGAACTCGAACCCAGGACCCTTCCGTCTGCAGGCTGATGCTCTATTGACTGAGCCAACCCGACTTGGGCCAGCCTGAAGAATTTTTTAAAAATATGTTTTTATTGCCTAAACTGGTTTGGCTCAGTGGATAGAGCGTCAGCCTGCGGACTCAGCGGTCCTGGGTTCGATTCCAGTCAAGGGCATGGACGGTGGTTGCGGTCACATCCCCAGGTGGGAGTTGTGCAGGAGGCAGCTGATGGATGTTTCTCTCTCATCAATGTCTCTAACTCTCTATCTCTTTCCTTTCCTCTCTGTAAAAAAAAAAAAAAAAAATCAATACAATATTTTAAAAAATGTTTCTATTGATTTCAGAGAGGAAAGGAGAGGGAGAGAGAGAGAGAGAAACATCCATGATGAGAGGGAATCATGGATCGGCTGCCTCCTGCACGCCCCCTATTGTGGATCGAGCCCGCACCCCGAGCACATGCCCTGACCGGGAATCGAACCTGCGACCTCACGGTGCACGGCATGAAGCTCAACCACTGAGCCACACTGGACCGGGCTGCCTGGACAGTCGGTCCCCTGGAGACGGGCCCTGTCCGGGCCGTGAGTGGGAGGGTCAGGGGGAGGGAGGGAGGGAGGGAGGGAGACGGGCGGGTGGGGGGGGGT